CTGACACCAGAGGTCTGACCTCAGAAAGAGTTAAAAATTGTTAGAGGCCAGACAGGCACGACGAAGCCAAACCAGCCTCCGTGCGGGGGACCGGGCAGGTGGCTGTGGCCCTCTGAGCCTTGGTTTCCTCGACCGTCAAGAGAAGCAACCAGTTATCTCATGTGGTGAGAAGTGAGCAAGATGACATACGGAACATCCTTGTCCCTGCCTGTCACAGGAAGTCCCCAAGACCACCCCAGCAGGGCCGGGAGACGCCTCAGCTCTCCACCAGTCCCCTCTGTCACGGAGGCGCCCACAGCATGGCCCAGCAACCCCTGGTCTGCATCTTGCCCCCCAGCACAGGTCTGGGCACCCAGGGGGACAGGGACATCGTGCTCTGTTCATGATCCATGTCAGCCCCTGGCAGAGACGAGGCACCGGTAAGTATTGTTGAATGAATGCATGATCGGAGGGAGGGGTTCAAATACGTGGGATTCCACAGGACTTTCCAGCCTGCACTCTCTCAGCTTCCGTGCTGGGTTGACAGCTGGTGGTCAACTTGTACCACCCAGCTGAAATGAACTGGCGTGGTGCTGGGTGTGGGAGCCCGCCTGAGGACTGGTGCCAGCAGCGTAAGGGGCAGACCTGGAGAAGGGAAGCTGCCGGGGAGCTGGTAGGGGGCTGTCAGTTCTCCTGGAGGAGCTTGGCGTGCTGGTTTTCCCGACAAACTCGGCTGTTCTCGCCGCCGAAGCAGCTCAGGACCTTGTTGTCCCTGGGAATGGCTGCGGTTCACTTTGAGGGAGCTCTGGTCCTCACTCTGAGCACCGCTTCCTGGCTCTGGAGGGGAAGACGGTGCACTGCTCAGAGTCCTGGAGAAGCTTGTCACACTGGCTTTCCTGATGTGGACTCGGCTGTCCTCACTGTCAGAGGACCTCACTGTTGCTGAGGACGGCTGTGGTACTTTTCAGGGGAGCTCTGGTCCTTGCTTTGACTGTCGCTTCCTGGCTCCAGTGCGGATCCCTCAGCCTGCGAGCACAGACCCTTCATCCCGCTGGCACAGACTTTCTAGCTTCCACCACTGACCTTGGGACCTTCCCAGTGCAGATCTGTGAATCAGGCCTGCGTGAGACATTGTCATGGGCTCTAGGCCTCTAGCTGGACTCATCGGGGGCATTGCTAGGGGCTCTAGGTCTTCAGCTGGACTCATGCAGGACATTGCCGTGGGGTCCCGGCCCTTGGCTGGACTCTTTGGGTCTTTAGCGCGTGGCCAGATTTCCTGCACTCTCTTTCTATACGACTGTTCGGGTGACTACTATAAAACAATTCTATAAACTACGTGTCCTGTATTGAACTGCTCCCCTTGCAGACCCCGACTACAACAGCTGCTCTCTGTCCTGTCTCTCCAGGTTTACTTTCTTCTTGTTGCTGGTTCATTTCCTTGCACTTCCTCGTGGGTTTCTTTTTTTTTTTTTTTTTTTTTTGTCTTTTTGAGACAGGGTGTCACTATGCAGTTCAGGCTGGCCTTGAACTCACTTTGTAGAACAGGCTAGCCTCGAACTCTCATGATCCTCCTGCCTCAGCCTCCCGAGTGCTGGGATTACAGGTGTGCACCACCACGCCTACCTCTCCTTTTGGGTTTCGTTAGAATTACCTCCGAGGCTCTGTTTGGTCTGAGGAGCGGAGAAGGGGTGGATTCTGCTACTGTCTGGGCCTGAGGCGGGGCGAGAACGTGGGAGCCCAAGGCCAGTGGACCAGCTGCAGCCTAGACAAGCAGGAGGCTTGGAGAGCGGAGCAGATCAAAGCACCCACAGTTCAGAAGCACCAGTCTTCGGAATAATGGGAGGTTGGGGCCGAAAGACTGTTGGGATGTTCGTAGCCTGTGCAGCAGTCATACCACACACACACACACACACACACACACACACACACACCCCGATACTTCTCGCTCACCATCCCTCCTTGTAGGGAGGAGGCCGAGGCCCCCGGAAGGAGTCTCCCTGTGCGGGGTCCTGTCCCACTGTCACTCTGTGAATGCTCGCCGCGTCCACGGAAGGTCGTCCGGACCAGCCACTGCCTGCGCAAGCGCTTGCACCTGTGTTCACTGGGGTTCAATATGCAATTGGGGGTCACACGGGAGAGGAAAAAAGCACCCACTTTGGAACCAGCCCAAACCGGAGTTCGATCTGTGTGGTTTTCCTTTTTTTTTTTTTTTTAACCATGCAGGTTCACAGTACACAGCGTTTGCATCCATCTAAGGGGCAGGTGTGTGCGCGTAACGCAGCTTGATTCTCTTCATCCCTCTCCCCTCCCTCCTCTCGGACCCCCTCCCCATCCGTCTCCCTGCAGCAGCAGTCTCCCTCAGAGTCTAACTACAGCGGCCTCCCCCGCCGCTACAAACTCCCTCCTAAACCCGCTCAACCCTAAAGCGAAACGAGTTTCCCTGTCCAGGACTGACGGAGGGTTGGACGGGTGGGTGCTGCTCTGACCGGAATGGGTACGCAAGCCGCCTTCCTCACATCCACCGTGTGGCCCAGCCTCTCTCCCTCACGCCCACCTCCCGCTAGCGTGTCCTTGCCGGTGCAGCGGGCTCCATGGCCCCCCTGCTCAGCAGTTGTGTGGTCCTCTGAGCAAGTCATCTCATCGGGGATCCACGAAACACCCCGAGCCCCGCCTGGCACGCAGTAAGTGCTGGGGAAAAGCCAGCGCCTGGCCCTCCCTCCTGCAGACAGTCGTCCCTGCCCCTGGTCACTCAGCTCCCCGGAGAGGAGTCCCCCCAGCGCCTGTGCCTCCCGGAGCTCCTTCGCGAAAGGCTGCCCCTGCGCACGTGCCTGGGCGTCCCTGCCCGGTGTCCGGGAGCTGTGAACCCGCCACAGCCGGACCCGCGTCCTCGCCTTCCACCCCAGCCGCCTCCTGCTTTCCCGTCTCCGCGGTGACAGCAGCACTCACCCAGGTCCTCAGGCAGAAGACCCAGAGTCCCCGCCCCCTCTCCTCCTGAAGGCGCCTCCTCCCGGCTGCACCTCCCGGCTCGGAGCCGCCACCACTGTCTAGATTCCCTGGCCCCCGTTGACGGGTCCCGTGCCGCCAGCGTTGCCCCATGCCGGTCCCCGGTGGCTGCCTCTTCTCCTCGGAGCCCCGGTTGGTCTGGCCATCAGTGCTAGCCGCTGTCCCGGCTCCCGAGCATTCGCTCTCACCCAGACAGACGCCGTGCAGTTGTTCCGGGCCGGCAGCACTCTGAAGCCCCCTCCCGAGCAGTGCGCTCGGGTGTCCAGGCCCTTCCGTGCCCCGGCTTCTGCCGGGTTCTGTGACCCCAGGGTGAATGCCCGTCCCTTACTGCAGCCGAGGGGTCCTCAGGGTGGAGCCGGGCATCCTCTTCCGCCGCTGGGCGGGTGCTTCAGTCCCCATCTCGTGACAATCAAGGTCGGTGCTTGGGACCTGACTTCGCGCAATCTCTCTGCAATCCCCTTGGGTTCGCGTCTCACGGAGTGCGGGGAGGAAGGGCACGTACTCAGGGCCAGGAATCGCGGGGACCTCCCCAGGATCCCACCTACCACAGAGTCCCCTGGAGCCCGGCAGGTCTGGGACCGTGGGGGGGGTACCGGGTCCCGGGAGGCCGTCGTGCAGGGGGCGTGGCTGTCTGAAGCAGCCCCGTGGGAGGGCTCGCAGGCAGAGTCTCCAGAGACAGCCAGCGTGGTACCTGAGAAGCCCCGGGGGCTCTTGGGAGGGAGCAAGAGTTGAGATGACTCCAGCCCTGGCTGTGAGCCTTAGGGACAAAAGCAGAACAGAGAGAAGCTGTCACTGCCGAGCCCCATTAGGAGTGCAGATTCTTGAGTAAATTATTGTGGTTTTAGGCCTGTACGCTTTGGGATGGTGTGTTAGTCAGCTTCCGATAATTGTGAGAAAATATCGTAAGTAAACAACTAAAAACGAGGGAATTTTGCCAGGTGTGATGGAGCACACCTGTAATCCCAGCACTCAGGAGGCTGAAGCAGGCAGATCCCAAGTCAGAAGCCAGCCTGGGTGACGTGTCAACACCCTGTCTCAGAAAGAAAAATGAGTTTCAAGCCCAATGAGAATCCTCAGAGAATCTTGTGGAATGGCGGGCTGGGGATTTAGCTCAGTGGCACAGCACCTGCCTGGCAAGCACAAGGTCATGAGTTCGACTCCAAAAACAAAACAAAACAAAAAAAATAATAAGAATCTTGTGGAATGTTCTTTACCTTGTTTCACCTTATTTATGCCAATATTTTTCACCATCCACAAGAGCTTCGGAAGCATAGACCCCATCATTTTTGTCTGGTTTTCCTCCATAGTGAGCGCATGACCTGCAACGGACTTGCCGAACAGGACTTTGCCGCTCCTTACCCAAGAGGAGGAGTCTCACTCCCCGGCTCTGGAGCCTGCGCTGAGTTGCGAGCATCCTGGGCCAACGCTATGCTGCCAAAGCGACTGCCCTGCCCTAGGCCCCGGGAGGCCTTCCCTGGGACCTGGCTCGAGCTGCTGGCTGGAGCCCGAGCATCACACGGCCTGTTGGTTTCCAGGCCCCAGCCAGCTTCCAGCCAACTGCAGAGACAGAACCACTGCCTGCCCCGCGGCTGACCGGACACCGAAGGAAACCAGAGCCGCCCGCTCAAGGCCCAGCTGCAAGCAACGAGCCAATTCATGATGATTTTAAGCCGCTAAATTGTGAGTTGCTTTGGTACAAACAAAGGTTAACTTCTGGCTGACATTTCCTTATGCGTTTATTTGGCTCCCTTGGGCCTCCCTTCTTACACAACACGTCCACAAGACAGGGCTGTAATTTGTATGTCTCGATGCCAGCGGCTTGAACCACCAGTGGTACACGCATGACTGTCCCATCGGGTGGCCTGGGACAGCCCCATGGGGCGGGGGAAATCACACAGGTATCACAGGCGGTTCAAACCAGCAGGAGTATGTTAATCCCAAAGGACAAACAGTCGAAGTCCAAGTTTGATTTGCAATAGGAAAGGTTTATTTGGAAATCAAGATCAGAAAGAGAGTAGGGTCACCCAGGGGCCACCCAGGGGAAGAGACAGCTCCCCAACCTCGAGGGCATCAAAGCCCAGCAAGGAAGGGAGCCAACGGATGGCCAGTGGCTCAATGCCACATCAGTCCAGCCCCACAGGGGCACCAACGCTGGTGGCCGGTCAGGCCTGATGGCAGGGCGCAGGAAGCAAGCGCACCTGGAGTCTGCCCGCCTGGGGGGTGGTCGGCTGGCGCTGGGTGGGGAAAGTCGGCAGGGGCTCTAGTATCGTAGCTGGTGGCCTGTGGAGAGCGGGAAGGAGATGAGATAAAGAGGGGACCTCAAGCAGGGACTTCCCCGAAAAGATGGAGAGACCGAGCAAGGAGCCTGGGGAATCTCGACATGGAAGGACCAGGAGGTCACCCGCTGCCTGGCTCCACCCGTTCTGTCCCTCGGGGCAGCTCCTCCACATCCCGCTGCTCTGTTAGTAGATTTCTTGGACACTGAGAGGAAGATGGCCCCTGCCACACCCCTACATGCAAACCCACGGCTCTGCAGTGCCACCGACACACAAAGCACCCCAGACACTGTGTAGAAGGACAGTCCTCAGGCATGTCCCCGCACCCCCGCCTCTCACGACAATTTCATGTCAAATTTTTGCTTTATACAATTCAGTGAAGGCGTGGGAAAATTTCCCGACCTGGAGCCCGCCCCACCGGCTTGTCTCTTTCCCGATTTTAGATCGTCACAGGCGTTAGAGGTGTCCCCTTCCCTATGTCACACAGTGCTGTCCCAGCCAGCCACGGACCAAACCTGTGGGCGCTGTTTCCCCTGAACTGTACCAGCCCAGCTCTGCTGCCCCCAGGACAGAAAATCCCAGCCTGGGAGCCCACGGAACTGAGTCCTTTCAGTAAGTTCCTCATTCTCTCTCCTTTGCTGGGCCCTCATAAAAATGACAGCGTGGGCTGCAGGGGGAGAGCTACACTGTACCACACAATTTTCAGCCCATCTCCTAGTCCTCTGAGACCCGGGCCGTGTGTAGAGTTGAACCTAACCTCATCCAAGGCTGCCAGAGCAGTGATCACTTCAGAACCAAGGGTGGGTCTATAGCACCATGCCAGGGACCTCCCTGAAATGAGCTCGTCCCAATGTGCATTCCCCAGAGAGGTGCAAAGATACACTAACAGGGTGGCCAAGCACACATAAGGCCTTGATTCAATCCTAGGGTGCAAATAAATAAATAAATAAATGTGGGCTTGACTATTCCCTTACCCCATAACCTAGAGCCATGCCCCTCAGCACAGCCCAGACCACTTCTTACCTTGTACATCATCACAGTCCTCAGGTTTTGAGGAGGACTGGGACTGGGACGGTCTTCCACTTCCTCCCTTAGATCCACTTCCTCCACCATAGCTGCCTCCACTTCCTCCATGGCCGCCTCCACTTCCTCCACTATGGCCACCTCCACTTCCTCCTCCAGAACTACTTCCTCCTCCGTAGCTGCCCCCACTTCCTCCCTTAGACCCACTTCCTCCACCATGGCTGCCTCCACTTCCTCCACCATGGCTGCCTCCACTTCCTCCACCATGGCTGCCTCCACTTCCTCCTCCAGAACTACTTCCTCCACCATGGCTGCCTCCCCTTCCTCCTCCAGAACTACTTCCTCCACCATGGCTGCCTCCCCTTCCTCCTCCAGAACTACTTCCTCCACCATAGCTGCCTCCACTTCCTCCACCATGGCTGCCTCCACTTCCTCCTCCAGAACTACTTCCTCCACCATAGCTACCTCCACTTCCTCCACCATAGCTGCCCCCACTTCCTCCTCTAGACCAACTTCCTCCTTGTCTTCCTTTGCTACTTCCAAAGCCAATTTGTCCAGCTCCAGAAGAGTCACTGGAAAAGGAAGAAGACACAGAGATAAAATGAGTAGTCCCCACATGCATATCGAAGGATGGCCCTGGACAGGATCAGGACTCAACTGTGACTCTTCCCAGTCCTGGCAGGCAGCAGACAGAGACTGGGATGGCACCACAACCCACAGCAAGGAGCCTCCAGCTGGGACCATGGCACCTTCCCCTCCCTGGAGCTGGGGCCGCCCCTTCTCCCGTGGTCCCCGCCCTCCTTTTCCAAGGCCCCACGCCCCTGCCGTGTCTCCACAAGATGAAGACGTCCCCAGTCATCAGACCCTTGCCACAGAGCTTGCCTATCCAGAGGGACAAAAGGCCTGGGGATTCCTAAAGGGCTCCACAGAGTCCTGGGGACCTACAAGTCCTCCTGGCCGCCCTCAAGGAGGCTGCGGTAGGTGTTGATCTCCTGCTCCAGCCGCATCTTGATGCTCAGCAGGTTGCTGTACTCCAGATTCTGGCACTCGATCTCGCCCCGGACCTGGGCAAGCTGCTCCTCCACACTACTGATTTGCTGCTGCATCTCCTGCAGCAGGATGTAGTAGCGGTTCTTCGTGTCCTCCAGGGCCTTCTCCAGGGCTGATTTCTAGGGGGCAAGAGAAAGCTTTAAGAAGGACGTTCCCGCCTGGGTCCTCTCCTTCCCACCCAGCCTCGCAGAGCACGCCCAGGGAGGGCTCCGCGGCAGCACTACCCACCGTGCTGAGCTGAGTCTGCAGCTCGACCTCCAACTCCTGCACGCTGTGCCTGAGCTGGGTCGCCTCCTTGGTGTTCTTCTCCATCTCTTGACCACTACTTGTCACCTCCTGTTCGATATGGGTCATCTGCAAACCCAAAGGCTCAGTGAGGACCAGGCAGGGCCAGGAGCTTGAAACAGCAAGACTCTGCCTCACCCTAGAGATCTTCCCTCCAAGGCTGGGGCAGAGCCCAACCCAAGGACCTGCCGAGCTCTGGGTCCCTCCAGCAGGGCAGCCGTCCAGTTCTCTCAGCACGCCTTTCCTTCTCAGCAGAGCTCCAAGACCCTTCACACCAAGCCGCCAGTTTAAAATTCCTCCCTACCATCTTACACACACACACAAACACGCCCCAGACCACGCCGTCGTGTCCAAGGCTCCTTGCCAAGCTCTAAGGACCCACGGAGGAAGACAGCAACCGGGGAGCTGAGACAGAATGGGAGGCACACTGTGTCCCTCTACCAGAGCTCTACACCGTGTCAGCACTCAGCTCTGTCCACACACTGATGAACTGTGAGCTCCCCAAGAGTTGCAACCTTATTTGATTCATGTCTGAAAGGTCAGCGCTCCCCCAAAAACTGGCACTGAGAAAGTCCTCTAAAACTGAATGAAGGAATGAGTACAGAAAGAAGGAAGGGAAGGGAAGGGGGAGGGAGAGAAGGAGGGAAGGAAGGAAGGGGGAAGGAAGGCAGAGAGGGAGGAAGGGAGGGAGGGAGGGAGGGAGGAAGGGAGGAAGGGGGAAGGAGGGAAGGAAGGAAGGAAGAAGGGGGAAGGACGGAGGGAGGGAGGAAGGGAGGAAAAGAGGAAGGAGAGAAGGAAGGGAGAAGGAAGAAAGGAAGGAAAGGGGAAGGAGGGAAGGAAGGAAGGAAGGAAGGAAGGAAGGAAGGAAGGGGGAAAGAGGGAAGGAAGGAAGGAGGGGGGAAGGAGAGAAGGAAGGGAGGGGGCAAGAAGGTGGATAGATGCCATCTTTTGGAGGATGGGTGGGCCCCGCAGCACCGAGGGGCGCAGAGCTGGGAAGAAGAAGGGTGGGGGAAGGGAAGGAGGGGGTGCAGGCCTGGAGGACGCGTGGTGAACAGCGGGCACAGGGTGGCACGGGCCGCCCGCCCTGCTCACCTGGGACTCATAGCGTTCCTCGATCTCCTTCCGGTTCCTGGAGATGAGCTGCTCGTAGTCCTGGCGCATGTCGTTGAGGATCTGGGTGAGGTCTCTGCTGGGGGCAACGTTGATCTCCACATTGACGTCCCCACCGCTCTGCCCGGTCAGCTGGCTCATCTCCTGCCGAGGCAGAAGGGGAGGTCAGGTCAGGGAGGGTCCTTCCTCCCCCACTGCAGCTCTCTCCCACCAGTCCCTCAGGCTACAAAAAGGGACACAGGTGTGAAATCAAAGCCCAGCCACTGGTACAGACAGTGCCGAAGAGGGGCTGGGAGTGTCCTCCGGAGAAAGGGAGAGGGTGCCCTTCAGGCCCCTGCTGCCTCTGCTCGCCTGCCCCTCCTTGGACCTGACAGTCACAGCAGCAGGAGCGTACCTCCTGGTGGTTCTTCTTGAGGGCCTGCATCTCGTCCTGCAGAGACTCGTACTGTATCTCCAAGTCGGACTTCTCCATGTTCAGATTCTCCAGCACCCGCTGCAGACCATTGATGTCAGCATCCACCGACTGCCCCAAAGACCGCTCCATCTCGTACCTACAGACCAGCCAGGGCAGGCGGTGATCAGCAGAGGCCTCCAGAGGGCTGCGCGGCGGGGGAGATAGGGAGGGCCTGGGGTCAGACTCACTTAACCCTGAAGTCATCCAGTGTCATTCGAGTGTTGTCGATATCCAGGAGAGTTTTGTTATTGCCCACTGTCAGGTGCAGAATCTGAGCAAGAAAAGATGGCTTAAAACTGGTCCCCTTCCTGTGATCCACTGCGGGGAGGGGCAATGGCAAAGGCGGGGAGAATCCCCCCCAGAAAGGTGTCCAAGAGGAGTTCCCAACAGTGCGTATGCGGCCCAGACCCAGACCCCTTCCCAGCCTTCAGCAAACAAGCTCAAGTGTGGGTGGGTGCGGAATGATGGATGGATGGGTAGATGGATGCATGGCTGGGTGGATGGATGGATGGATGGATGGATGGATGGATGG